GCTTAGTGAATGCAGCAGTAGGTTTGGGAAGGTGGCCTTCTTGAGTCTCCCAGGGAAGGTTACAGTAGGTCTGGATGGGCAAGGGGATCACAGGGTCTTCTGCATCCCCCCCAGGCTAATTCTTCCATCCTGGTCACGCCACGCTTTGGTCCCAAGAGAGGGACTGCAACCAATTTTGCAGAGGCACTGCCATCAGTCATTTGGGGCCCTTTTAGTGCTGCTCCAGTACACAAAAATGTGGGGTGAGGAGGAAAATGTTATAGGGAAGCTAAAAGGAAAAAAAGAATACAGGGAGAGGTTTTTCTTTCCCAAGCCCTCCCCTATGCTGTGGAATTGTGTTCCCACAAGGGGAGTTGGCTGACCCCCGAACATAGCTGGCTTCTTCATTTATGGAGAGATTATGCTTGGGTCCTAATATGGCTTTTGGTTTATAATCAGAATTTGAGGGATGATTCTAAGAGTTGACTGTATATGTGTGTTGGATGGTACTTGATATTCAAGGATGCACATGTCGTCAGCAAAGCTTGTGAAGTACCTATTTCTACTCCTGTCTTAGGTGCTAGGTGGAAGCAGAGAACTGTACAGACAAGGGATCACAGCTAGTGAAGGTAAGCCAACAATACAGGAGCAAGGCAGTGCAACACAAGTACCAGGTCATCAGAAGAAGAAAGGGGGTCACTGGCTGTCTGTGAGATGGCAGGTGTTCTAGTGGGCGGGCAAGTGTGCCAAGATGTGGCTTTTCCTGGGGGATGCGTGAAGGATAAAAACAGGACATACAGAAGGAGCTAGCAGGTAGAACAGGGAGCTGTTGCTAATCCCACGTGGGAGCTGTTCTGCTGAGCTTGAGGAAGGAGGCAGCCAGGTTGGCTGAGTGTGGAAGAGAGGGACATAGGAAATGAGCTCAAGAGGTGGGCAGCAGCCAATCATGGGGGGTTCTATAATAAAAATCGATTTGCACATAATCAATAATTATAGCCATAATAAAAATCTTTATCTAGAGCTACCAATATTCTAAGTCTGAATGGAGCCAGGAGTGCTCTGTTCAGATCCAGAGTCAGATACATCATGGAAGGTTCTACCCTCCTCACCTAACCTGCCATGGCCATTAGGTGCTTGAGTCAGTGATCAGTATCCCTCACGTCCCTTTTTCTCTTTTTTATTTTTTTTGGTTTTTTCTCTGGTACCAGGAACCGAACTCACGACCTTGCGCTTGCCAGGCAGGCGCTTTTTTGCCGCTGAGCTAAATCCCCAGCCCCCCTTTTTCTCTTTTTTGAGAATATCCAGGCAATGCAACAGATGCATAAAGGCTGATAAAAGGAATGCCTGGTTTCTAACGAATGAATTGTTTTTGTGCAAATATGCATATATGAGACAGTTATAGTGAGTTGACAGATTTAAGATTTTCTGCAAGAGATGTCTGCTCATTTTCTCTGGACTATCATACACACTACTAGAAGGGAAAGCCTTAAATAGTTGTAGATACTTAAATAACCTTAAATAATCATATATACATAATAACTATTATATATACCAATATTGGACAAGGATATTTGTTACAGGTAGGTATTGATGGCCAATTACATACGTATACTTACATAAATGAATTTTACAATTCATTCTCTTATCTTTAATTACTCTGTAAAAATGTTATCTCTGTCATATAATAGAAAAGCAACCAGAGATCCTATTAGTGTTTCAGTCTGGGTAGAAATTGGCTGCTTTCCTATCGGGATCTAGAATCACAGATTCTTACAGGCGATGAGGGAAGATGTGGAGCAGCCCCAGAAGAGCTTCCTGTGGAGGGCCTTGTAGGAGCTGGCTCTATGAGATGGTTCCACTTATTGTTTGGATGACAGAAACTTGCAAGCATGACATTTCTCACTGCTTTAGAGCTTTTATTTTTATCCAGGAAGTAAATAAAATGAATAGTTTCTCTTTTCTTCAAAAAATATTTCTGAGCATTGAGTGTGTGTAAGATAGTCTTCTAAATGTTGAGGAGGAGGACAGACATGAATCGGATATGAATCCTGTCATTAACAGATGGTGGTCTAAGAGGAGGAAAGATGAATAATCACATCTAAGGTGGAAAGCAGCGCCCAGAGGAGAGCGGTTTTGGTGACGGCTGGTGTGAGGGGTGAGTGTATAGTCTGGGTCCCGAGGATGTGCGTCAGTAGACATCCCAGCCACCCATGTTCAAAGCTGAACTCTTGGCTGGGTTCGGTGGCACATGCCTATAATCCCGACCCTCTGGGAGGCTGAGGCAGATGCATTGTAATTTAGGGACTCAATGACACTCTGTCTCAAAATAAAAAATAAATCAGTGCTTGGGATAAAAAGTGCATAGTATCTAGGTTCAATCTCCATACCAGAAAGAAAGGAAGGAAGGAAGGAAGGAAGGAAGGAAGGAAGGAAGAAAGAAAGAAAGAAAGAAAGAAAGAAAGAAAGAAAGAAAGAAAGAAAGAAAGAAAGAGAACTACCCTTCCCCTCGAGCTGTCCCACAGTCCTCTTGTCGCTTGGTGGGGCCTCTGCCCTTCTTGCAACTGAGGCTCTAATCCTGCAGTCATCTTTGAATCCCTGTTTTCCCTTACATCCTATTTTTCATCCACCTGCAAATTTTATGTGCTGTTTCTTCAAATCTGTCCAGCTGAGGCTTAGATGGAAAACTATCTTGTACAAATTCTGTGTCCCTGCCAAAGGGGGAATGTGAATGCGCACTCGTGCTGCAGCCTGTGTCTTCTGTGCAACTCCTTGAGGCTGGAATGGACGTGGCAATCTATCTTGTGTGGTGTAGATGCCCCGGGAGAGCGGGGTTAGGAAATCAGGCACAGGAGATAGGTGAGGATCAGATCACAGAGAAGTTTAAATTCTAGTTAAAGGATTTGGGTTTTATTTGACAAAACACAGAGATATTTAACAAGTTGGGTTGGAGAATGCTGGAATTGAAACTGTACCGCGGGGAGGTTCAGCAGCAGGGTGGCAGTAGGGCGTGAAGTGGGAGCAGAGCAGACACTCCACAGGGTGGTGGCTGTTTCTTTGGGCTAGTGGCAAGGGGGCTGGAGTTAGCAGTGAGGGGGGCATTTCAGAGGCTAATTAACATGAAGTAGCAATTTACTGACTTTGGAGGAAAGAAAGGAAGACTCAAAGATAATGCTATTTCCCCCACGTACTTTGACACATACTTTACACAAAATATATGCACTGAAATCCAAGATTTAAATGTGGGGCGGATAGTGATGTCATTAAAGCATTTTATTTTGAGGAGGAAAATGAGAAGTTTGATTGATGTTCAGTTGCTTTGGGTCATTTTGTTGAAGCTATCAAATCATGCATGGGAAGGTTGAGGCTCAAGTTACGGAGTTAGTAGTTAGTCAGTCAACTGACAAAACCAACAAAACCAGCAAGATTTTTGACTACATAATCTGAAATTTCTCCTTCAGTAAATACTTAGATAATCTTGACAATATATATATTATATGATGATTCTTTTCATTGCAGGGTTGGACTTACAAGGCAATGAGTGCTGAAAACTGAACAAAGGTAGGAGTTAGATCTGAGATTGTGAGCATAAAAGTAAGATCCATAAAAGCCTCTTTCAAGAAAGGACAATTTCAACAAAGTACAAATGCACTCACAAGGGGTGGAGACCTCTAAAGAACTTAATGTATCTTTCTTTCTGCATGGAAAAAAAAAAGAGTCTCTAAGATTTTATAACCAAAGAGGTGGACTCATATTATGTTTGCAGTTGAAATAAAAAGTCTGCTTATAGGGTCCAGGAACCCACAGAAGCCAAAAGATTATTTAAAAAGTGAGCTGAAGCTGGTAATTCCTCAGGACTGTCTGGAAAAATAAAATACAGTAGGAGTATAGCTCCAAATTTTTACCAGCCTCTCTCAGTTAAAGCCCAGATGATAATGTGCTCATACAAGGACATCATGTATCAGAATTTTCTTTTTCTTGCCTTATAGCTTTTTCTACTAGTTGTAAAAGAACAAATCTCACCCTTCTAATGGAGGATCTAGGAAAGAGAGATTTGGTTGTGGATCCTTCGGGCTCAGTTCTTGATATGCTTAAGGAGGAGACAAATGAAAATAGCATGGCTTTTCTGCAACAGTACAAGGACTGATTAAAACAGAAGGTGAATGTTTACATTTTTAAAATGTATTACAGTAAAAGACACATTGCCATGAATCCTCCTCAGAATGCTTTCCCTTGCTTTGAAAACACTTTTCCCATCTTTCTGTCTAGTTCTGCAAGTCTTCCTTTGTGTTTTTCATTGCACTATTGTGGTTGCCTCAGTGTTCTGAGCTTCTTCAAATAGTTTCCTTTTTGTGGTCATTGTCACTTTGGACAAGAGCCAGAAGGTGAATAAGGTGGATGAGGACTACCATTCTGTGTGGATGGGTCTCTTTGTATGGGGTAGCACTTGGCAACAGAACTCAGTTTTTTTTTTTTTTAATCACATTTCATAAAAATACTTAGAATGGAGAACTTCCAGAAAGTGGCAAGAAAGATAAGCCATGTGTGCTTGTAGAGAGAGGGAGCATTTTGATGGAGATTAATGACAAAGGTCTTCTATTGTAACAGTTTTTTAAATTTAAATACGCCCCATGTTTATTGATCAGCCTTTGTACACACTCACTTTGTAACTGAGGTCAGACTGAAGAGAAAACCCTTCGTCTCCTTTTTTGTGAGCATGAAATTGAACACATTTACGTCACTAGTTCTGGTTAATTAAATGATGAAGAACCTATCTGTGGGACAAGCCAAAAAAGGAAATGAGAAATAGAGGAAGCTTTAGCTGTGCAACTTGGTGAATTCCTTTCCTGGGGCAGATTGTTCCTCCTGGATTCTTGTGCTCCAGGGCCTCACTGTGTGACCACACACTGTGTGACCACACATGGCGACCCTTCTCAGGAGGAGCTTTAACTCATCCTGTGTGCTTCTGCCATGTTCAGGACAGAACATGTTTCTGCCTCAGCCACTACCATTCCAGCCTGCCTTAAAATTTGTCACATCTACACTGAGACTTCAAGGTTGTGGCCAGAGGTTCAGGAGGCCATATGTACAGACTGGCTTGGGGAAGCCTGGGTGGAAGCTCTATTTCTGCATATTCTGGGCTGAGTCCTCCATGTCTAAGGTCCCCGACTTAAGCCTGGCCCCACCGCCCCACTTTACCCATGCCTGCGCCAGGCAGCCCTGGTCTCACCTTGTCCTGCTGGCCTCCTGCGCTCTGTGCCCCAAGCCAGGCCACTGCTCTTCTTACTGCCATGACACCGTCTACTCTTTTCCTGCATTGGAGATGTCATCAATCATGTTAAGGGTTATTGATCTGATCTCTTTGCCTCTATTAGACCGGAAGTTCCCCTAAAAATGCTGAGACCCCATTTTATGCTTTCTGCTATTTTGTCCCATTGCTTATTAGTCATTGTGGTAATTTTTTGTTTGTCTGTTTTCTTCCTTTGTGATACTCAGGACTGAATCCATTGCCTCGGCACTGAGCTACATCCCGTCACTTTTTTTTTTTTACTTTTTACTTTGAGACAGGGTCTCACTAAGTTATTAAATTATCCAGATGGGGCTCAAACTTTTGATCCTTCTGCTTCAGCCACACCAACTGCATGGGACAGGTGTGGACTGCCAGGCTGGCTGAGGCAACTATTCTTGAGAGCGTGCATGCATGTCCTTTAGAGTCTGCTAAATTTAGTATTTCCTTGAGTTTCTTATAAATTTATGATATGCAGGGCATCACTGGAAATTCAGGCTGAGCAAAACAGACTGTAGTCTCATAGACTGTATTCTTCTAGTTTAAGGAGGGTCTAATTTTTATCGTGATTGTGCTTTGGCTGTAGTAATCTCCCTTGGGAGGCCTCCTTCTCTGCAGAAGAAGCAGTTCGTAGGTGATGAGGGGAAGCGGAGAGTGACTGCGGAAAGACAAACCTTGCTAACCAACATGGACATGGGTTTGGAATTAAATGAGGAGCGTGAGGACCAGAGGAGAAGGAAGAAGGAAGGAAGCAAGAGGGCACTGAGGCAGGAGGCAAGGGGAAGAAGTCTCTGGAGGGAGACTGAGAAGCAGAGGGTAAAAGAAAGCCAGCTCTCCAACACCATAGAGCACATCGAGCTCTAGCAACTAGGTCAGCCCGGGAAGACAGAGGGGCACGGGCAATGTAGTTTTGGGGCCCACAACAGCTCTCTGAGGACTGCAAAGAGCACCCACCCCTGGGGCCCGGTGGTGGTGACCTATGGCAGGTGTACTGCAACGGGTGTGCAGAGCCCTCTCTGGCAGCACGCAAGCTAAGTTGCCCCAGCAGCTGAGCACTGGGTAACAGTTTTTTTTCCTAAACTGAAACCTCAGTGTTCAGGTTGAATTGCACTGTTGGCACTCTGGGATAAATAAGTGGGTTTGGGCTTGCAGTTTGGGGACTCGGTCACTAAACGGTTCACCATCACTGAACTGGGCCATACCAGGGGATGCACACACTACAGAATATCTTAGATACCCCAAAGTAGCCACAGATTAATTATAACTAGTTATAATCTAATTTGCATTGTGTTTTAAAGCTCCCTGATGGGCTTTGGGCCTCATGATAGTTCCTTAAAAGTGTGTTTAAGGACAAAAACTACTCCGTCCAATAGAATGGAGATCTGCCCCCGCGAGAGCAACTTACAGTTCCAGTTCAAAGAACTCCTTCCACCATGTGAAAACCATGCAAAGACTCTGACACTTTTCTTCTCCGCTTCTCAGTGGCTTGCCCCCATCCTTTGCAGTGTACTAATCTTTGATCTTTGCTGAAGAAACAAGCTTTCACTTCAGTTTCTGGGTGTCTTGTTCAATTCCTTGTTCAGGATGCCAAGAAACTATGGTGACTCTTGACAACAGACAGCAGAAGGATTTAGGAAAGGACACAGGACCAGGGACAGAGACGAGGCAACAAAGAAGATCAACACTAGGGAAACATGGAGTGGCCATTGTGGTAGAGGCCCTGGGCAGCAAGCTTAGAGGCTGTGGTGACGTCAGGGAAAGGCTCAGGGTGGACATGCTGCTGGGAGTGGGAGCTGGGTTCTGAGCAGCCTCACAGACCACCCATGGGGAACTCCACCGTGTGAGGAAGCAGGGAGATGGCTTCCTGGGCACACAGTCTGTGATGGCACAGTGCCCATACCTTTCTCTGGGAGGATCTTGTGGTGTGTAAAAAGAATAGGCAGATAGGACATGCAGTGGAGCCCACTGGGGATACTTCCCAATCTGTGGAGGAGAGGTGGCAGCTGCTGAGCCAGACTGGGTACCCAGAGGATGTTCCTGAGGGAGGGAATACAGAGAATCAGGACACTGACCAGACCTGTCTAGATGTGGCTTCCTTCTTTGGAGTACCCTTCCCCATGCCTCTTCAAATGCAGGCTTACCACATGGGAGCTTGAGCAGGTAACCACGCATTCTCTCCTGACGTGCCTTCCCTCAGGAACAGAATTCCCACCCTCCAGGTGATGTCTGCGGGGACACAGCGTCGACGCAGGCAAGTTGTAGGGCCAACAGGTGGATGACATGGCTTTTGAGTCTTTGGAACTGGTGGATGAAAATGGTTCATTTTAGTGAGTATGGGAGAAGAGGAGAAGCCCTTACTAATTACTAATCAATTATTCCTAATTGAAAATAAGTATGTGTTCATCTTAAGGGCATTGTGATACTGACTTCTTTGTTCTGGGAAGGTTTGTAGGAAAAAGAAAAAGAAAAGGAAAAAAGGAAAGGCAGGGAGAAGGGAGGAGAGGCAAGGTGCGGTGATCTTAGACCCTAAATGACATGCTTAATATTTTGTGAAATAGTGTTTCAATTGAGTCGAGAGAATTCTGTGGGAAAAAACCCAGATAGGCAAGTTTTAAGAATGCAAAAAAAAAAAAATCTACATGGATCGCCAGCATCTTTCTGACAAACAGATATGTTCATAGGGAAGGTAAGTGGGGAAAAAGATGAATTTAAAGATGATTTCTGGCTTTTATGAATGAATTGTATTTCTTACTAAGCTTGAAATGGCTCTCAATCTTTAATACGTCCTTGCATGGTACATATCCCAAGATGCTTTTCAAAACTGAGATTACAACTCAGTGGCACATAAAAAGGTTAAACTTTTTTCTACAAGTTTGAATTTAAAAGATGAAAATTGACATTTTCATCTTGCAAAAGAAAATGAATTGCAGATCTCTGAAGTAAACACTTACAACAAAATGCAGGTGCCTTTGCATCTGAAAGTGTGCCTGTGAGTGACATCCGCAGGCCCTGAAGACTTCTGTTAAGCTTTTAAAGAAAAAAGTGTCTTTGAAGGCCAAGCAACTTGTAGCACTAAATATTTTAGTGATAATTTATGAACAATGTTAAGAAATGTGCCTTTTCTTTCGTGAAATAAAGTCCAGATACTTAGCGAAATATGAGGATTTATATGCTAACATGTTTTGCATGGCAGCTTTTGAGTAATACATTCATAAATATTTCCCTTTTTAAATTTAAAAGTCAAAACGAATTAGAAAAAAGCCAAACTGAAGGTGTCTCATCACAAGGAAGAGAAGCACTGTGGGTTCGGTTTGCCCTCACAGTCTCTGAACCTGGAAACACTACTACCGCTGGTGAATGGGTGTTACATATGCAGTTTCTCCCTTTCTCTCACCCTGGCAGTATGCAAAGAGCAATCAAAATATACAGTGAAGAATTAAATTAAAACAACTTATTACAATAAAAAACACATTGCCATTCAGCTTAACCCATCCCATGGGTTCAGATACACTGAGGCAGTCGCTTTTGCTGCTTTCTGAAACAGTTCTAATACCCTCTTCCTCAGTGTCTTTATGAGGTGTGATAAAAAATGTGGTGAAAGCCAAGTGCCATCCAATGGAGAAGCAGACCCATAAAAACATGACAGTGTTTCTCATCCACCTTATGCCCCAGATCTGATGCTGAGGGACACTGGTTCTTTGTCGGAGTCAGGATGACAATGAAAAGTAAATGTTCTGAATCAATGACAGTTGTAGCCAGGCCAGTGCAACTCCAAGCATCCGTGACAGAGAACATCTAGAACTACTGCAGAAAGTGGCAAGAACAAGGGGATGGGGTGAGTGTGTTCAAAACTAGAGGGAATATTTTGAGGGGAATTAAGGGCAAATCTTTTATTCTGATATTTTAAAAATTTAAACACACTATTTTTGATCACTCCTTGTGTATACATGTACAAGCATGTCAACAGAATATAACACTTTCAAGATTTAAATTTTACTTTAAATCATGCTTCTCTTGATCTTGACCATCTTCCCTTTAGATTGTTACTATTATTATTTTAATAATATTATCTTGTATACTCATAACATTTTATGCATGTGAAAATGTAATTTAAAACTTGTATTATGTATGTTACGCAAGAAAAGTGTTAAGAAATTGTGCTCACGAGCTTCTTGAAGAGGGGATAAAAATGAGGCAAGAGACAAAATGATAGCCCTGGATCTCTGGCGGCACGCTGGACTCAGTTGCCTGGATACTTTTGTAGCTTGATTTAATTCACAGATGCTGTGCTGTGAGCTCTTCTTTTCTTTTTCTTCTTCTTCTGGGGCGATGGGTGTTGTTGCTGGGGTAGGCAGGGGCAGGGAGTGTGAATGAGACAGAAGAAAAGTTGGCCACACAAATACAATACTGGGACAGTGGACCAGCCCTGCTGGGGAGCAGGAGGGGGAAGTTGCTCAGGCCTCACAAAGCCATTTTTGTTCCCATAGAAACCAGTGTTTAGTACTGAATGAGTAGCTTGACTCTGCAGAACTCCCTTCCTCTTTCTTTTTAAATCTCTGTTGGAGATTCATTGTTTTTTTGTTATTCTTGTTTTAATAAAACTAAATACTAAGGAGAAGAAAATACCTCCACCTCAAGGAGCCCTGTGAACAAGGTGATGACATGTATTCTGTGCAGCTTCAAGTCTGGCTGGATCTCCCCTATCTGAAATCTGGTGGCTTTTCTTTGAGCCATGTTCTAACAGTCCTCCCTGAGCTGTGCCTGGCTGGGATTGGCAGCTTAATCTGAATACCGGTGCTGCCTGGGCTGGCTTCCAGGGAGCAGAGGCAGAGCTGTGAGGGCAGGCAGGGTGGGGCAGCAGCAGATTCAATAGAGGCCCAGTAGGCTCTCCCATGTCAGGGGCTTCCTGCCTTCCCAGTCCCATGCCCTTCTCTGCTGGGTTACTGGCAAAGCTGCTTTCTATTCATCAAGGATTAATGCCTCACTGCAAGGGGAAAATTAGCAATTAAAAGAAAAATCTCAAAGCCTGGGATTTCTACTTCTTTATCATTTCCCAGTTAAATTCATTAGGATGCTGCTGTAGAGAAAAGTTCAGGGCTTTTGTTACTGCGTTGTCAAAGAGTTTGAAAGTACTAACAGGATGTTTTTATCTTTACTAGGAAAAATACAGGCAACCTTTTGTGCTAATGGAGCTTAGCTAACATCTATAAACAGCAAGGATTTCTAAAGGGAAAGTCAGTTTCTATAAGTCTCCTACAAAATAATTTGTGAATAAAACGTAAGAGATTCCTGTCCAAAGTGATGAATCTAAGTTACTTGGCACATTTTTGTATTTGAGCGTTTTAAAAATCAAAGGTTATTTTGATGACCAAAATAAAATGGATTAAATATAGGAAGTTGTGCCTGGATACTGACATTGTGAAATTTCTTCCTTAAATAACTTCTTCCATCTGGGAGTCTAATTAAATGTCCTAGCAAATTAAACCTGTATTTGTCTGGTATAAGAGCCTTGAGAAGTCTTCCTCCAGTCCTCCCTAGCAGGCTGTGGCTTGGGGAAGCAGAGGGTCCTGTGGGATGTCCTTCTCCGGCCCCACAAGCCCATTTTGTTCCTCCCAGCATCCACCTGCTGCTAGCATTTGTGACTCGGGTGGCACCATACCTGCAGCAGCAGACAGGAGCAGTGTTGTCCCTGTCCTGGGCAGATATGAATTGTCATCATCAGTGAGTATTACCAAGTGTTCACAGGGATAGGGTGCCTGCCAGGAACATTCAGTGTGGTATCAGGAAACACAGATGAAGCTGCTTCATTCATGAGGGGCAAGGTGCCTCCTGCTAATTACCATGAGTGCCCCAATTTTATTTCTTTGTTAAGTATGCACAGTGTGGCTTCTGGTTTCTGTACCATTATTCTACCATGGTTAGCAAAAGTTCTGGCTTTTATCTCAGAACAGGAGCTCTTCTCTTAATGTTGTTGAGGAGTATATGCATTTACAGAGGGTTTCTCATCATTATATACTAAACCTAGGGTATTATCACCTTACAAAACTCAGGGAGGAGTTTTTATCTAGAGCTTGGTAGAAAGCATTTCCCATTTTACTATAAAGCTGATGACTAGCATGGGCAAGCTCTTATTTCTATGTTAGTAATGGACTGATTTCACCAAGTTTTGAAGACAAGTCCAAAGAGAAGGAAAAAGTCAGAAGAAAACACTGTTCAGGGGAATCTTTTCTCTGTGCCATCACTGACATTGCTTTGTCCGTGCTTGTCTGTGCTGAAGCAAAGACTTCTCTTTGCTCGGTGGATGAAATTCATTGTTTAGTGGAGAAGGAAAAATTCCACGTCAGCATTTAAATCTTTAACCTCGTTAACATCCACACTGGGGCCTTGTGTCAGTTTCACCCATGTTTTCATTTCCACTGCAGCACATGAGTCCCAGTCTCTCTGCTCACGCAGCCTCCTGAGAACCTTGAAAGGGCCTGGAGAAGAGGAAACAAGTCAGACCAGTCCTTTCCAAACCGTTATCAGATGGACCAGAATGTTAAGGAAAGGAGGCCATGGGGCAGAGGGCTTAGATGTGCAATTCTGTTTTGGCCAACTTTGGCCTGTGGGTAGGAATTCTACCTCTGATGACCTCTAGGCTACACCTTCCCCTTGTAAGGGTCCCAGTCTTGAAGGTTTGGCCATTCAAGACCTCTATGGATAAAGCCAGTCCTTCCTGCTTTGCATATATTTGTTTTCTTCAGCTCAAGAGATTGTAGTGCCTAGAGCACAGGGACAGAGTTTTGTAAAAGATAATACAAAGACCAAAGATTTCCACTTTTCTTAGTAGTAGAATAGTAAGAATAGGCCCTTCATTTGTTTTCCTTTTTTCTTATTTTGCCATTTAAGCTTTGCCCCTCACAGTCACCTTCTTCTGTGTGGTTTGAGGCTGGGTTTTATTATTAGAGAACAGGGAGGCGTAGAGGAGGACAACTGGTCCCTCATTTCGCCCTGAGTGTCTGTTGGGACCAGAGCAGTTTCTCTGCAAGGTATAAGGATGTGCTGGGGTTGTTGCTTAATATTTTAAGTTATTCAGGCCTTGGGAGTGTGCAAACCCTTGGATCCATTTTAGTGTCATTCCACAGCATTATTTCCAACTGCTGCCCAGCGACAGCAGCTCTCCCCAGGGCTTCGTTAATGAATATAATTTTACAGCAACAAAAGAAGCTATGAGAACCAAAGTTTAGAGACAAAACAGAACTTTCTCTTTTTTTCCAAGTCAAACTTTCTAAAGTTGTAACTCTGCTCCAACAGGCACACATTCACAAGGGTCGGGTTTTAGTAAATGCCTAGGTCTTTGAATTACCCACCTATCAAGACATTTGCCTATGCTTGAGGGCTCAAAATCCTTATTCAGGATTCTTTTCAGCAATAATATCACACACACTTTCTTTGTGCAGTATCCAGTTCAGAAGGACACGTGGTGCTTTTAAAATATGTAAAGCTACAATAATAAGAAACTAATACTACCCTGGTCATAAAAAATCGGACTGTATAATTTATGCAGTGTCAGAAATGTGGGCTCTGTCATCCAGGCTGTGTTCATCTCTTCTTTTGCTCTTGTATTCTTCCTCAACATTTAAAAATCTCTCCAACTTTCAAAGTGGCTTTTACACCAAGGAAAAAGAGAACAGAGCATGCAGAATGGGAGCAGTTGAACCTCTTTGCCTTGGAATTTCTGCTACCTCGAGCAACCAGATTTTGCTGAATACACGTAAAGGGACGACTTGTTACACATGGCAGAGATCTTTTGTGTGAACTTGCTCCCCGCAGTCTGGCAGTGGAACTTTCTGTGTTGGCAAACAGGATGTATCAGATGAACAGACCTAACAACAAAAATCCTCACAATTACAGCTTCCCTGTCCACAGCAGAGAGTGGATCTAACCTTGCGTTTCCCATCTCAAGAGTGGTGCTGTAGCAACTTTGCTACCTATGCCTAGATTTCTCACATGGCTATGACATACTTGAGAGCTGCTAGTGGATGGTGTGAGCTTTGTCTCTGAAAAAGCTGCAGTGTGCTCCTCAGAGTACACATACTGAGGGTTTACTGCTTTGCCTATAGAACATGAGTGGATCATGTGAAAAGGTGATCAGACAGACACAGACTTGCTGCTCCTCAAACTGCATCAGGGCTCACCAGAGTAACTGGGGCTGGTACAATAACTGCTGCCATGCAGACATGCTCAGAGTGCTGTGCGAACCCGGGAAGCCAGCTGCTTGGTTTGTTGTTGGCACACTGAAAAGGGACGAAGTGCATTTTACTGTAAAGTAGGAAAGAGCAGAAATGCTGCGAGGTTTCAGGAGAGGGAGGAGACAGCTGCACCATGGTATTTGTGGTCCTGAGTCGCCACTCTCCATGGTTTCTTACATAAAAAGAATATATTAACAATTATGTTGTTGATATAAAGATTAACATATTAATATTGTTTATTAAGAATTCTCACTGACTCAAAAATTCATTTGATGCTTATGTTACAAATAAATTGAAATAGTTCACAGGGCTCCAAAAGTATGGTGGGCCCTGGGTTTTGTGCCTACGTGGGCCCTGGCAGAAGACACAGAGGAAGGGAAAGATGAAAGACGTGCAAAGGAAACAAGGAAAGGGACTGTAAAAGAAAGAAACCAAGTATGAGGTGAGAGGAGATCCCCAAACAACAGTTAAAGAAACCACTAAAGGGTAAAATAAGCTCATCAAAAGTAGAGGAAAAATAACAAAGTAGAAAATAGGAAAGCGAGACAAGACAGAGAACTACCACCGAGAACCAAACGCAATTGTACCCAGAAGCTCTTTCTTTGAGCCCTGACCCTGGAAGGAGAGTGGGAGAATCTGTCTTTCTCTAACTGCTTGGTAGCAGGACCACAGCTGGAGCCAGAAGGGCAGGAAGGTGAGGCCACCCCAAGGGAGTGACCTCAGTCTAGGTGGTTCTCAAGGACAGCTTGTCCGAAAAGACAGCGGCGAGCAAACAGCCTGCTCTGAAAGCTTGACTTCACACAGAAACCGAAACAATCTGGTCCTCGTACACGTGGAGTCCTAACTCAGGCCTTAGAGAATCGTGGAGCCACGTTCAGCAGCAGTACACTTCCGATGGAGCATTTGCACTCTGACATTTATCTGCATCTCCTCACCTTTTCATATCTTGGATGTTATTACTTTCATTTTGTTGTTGTTACTATTGCCTATCTACAGAGAAAGCTTATCTTAGGGTAGCAGATTTTGTTTATTTTAATATTCACTATAGTCTTGCAATATGTCACTACTTTCATTTAATAAATCAGGTGCCAGGCCCAGAGTTTGTGACTTATCTGAAGTCACACATTTAGTTAAGGGCCAGGGTTGTAGCTCGGCAGCACAGCTCCTGCCCAGCAAGCACAAGGTCCTGAGTTTGATTCCCGGTACCAAAAAAAAAAGGCATAGTTACTTAATTTTTGAGGACTTGACTCTAGAAATATGTGTGAGTGTGTGAGTACACACGCATGTCTATGCATGTGTGTGTGGGCACGTGTGTGCATGTGAGTATGTGCATGTGTGCATGTATGTATGTGTGTGTATGTATGTGTGTGTAAGTCCACACCTGTGTCTGATTAACTGGCATTGCTTTTTCTGTTAACGTTAAGCTTAAAGAAGAGCTGATTCCATACAGATGAGGGTATTCTTACACTTTCCCTGTTTTTCTCATGTGGTTGTTTATGCATTCCAAAATCTGCCTAATATTTTCATCCTTCTCTTTAATGAAATCACGGAAGGCACCATCCATCATCTGGTTGACCCAACTGACATCCGAAATTTAGAGCCACGAGTAAGCTATTCCTTTGATACATAAGCATAAAATTTGGCATACCAAATGCTTATGTTTATAAAGCTTTTCTAATACAGCCTGGAATTTTCATGTATCTGTTGATGACATGCAAATTGTTTCCCTTAGCATGCAGAAAATCCAAATGTAATTTAGGAAACATTTCTTAGAAACATCCAAATGTACTGAAGTTTGCCACATTCAATGCATAAACTTGGCAAGTTTTATTTTTTTCCATATAAAATATAATTTTCAAGGAATCTAGTGCTCAGAAGAGATCTTTATGCAGGAGGGCTAAGTAGAATTTTGCAGAGGTCAGTCCTTGATGCATTTAAAGCCACAGCCATTGGCTGTGTTCTGATTCAGGCCCAAAGACAGCTCCATAACCAGTTGTCATGTGTCTGGTTCAAGTCGGTGAGAAGTTTCTGAGGGAGCATGAATAGATCGTTGCTGATTTATTGTCTTACAGAACAGCGGCTGATTCAGATACTCCCCCACCATGGTGGCCAGTGAAGAGTGAGGTGGTGTTCCAACTTCACCGTCCTTCCTTGAGTCTAGCTTGGCTGGGCCACAGGATGAATGATTTAATGGACTACGATTAGCATGAAGATTCAGTAAATCTTGGCTTCTAACTATGGCTCTGTTGTTAATTCACCAAAACAGGCTGGTAAATTAGTCTAGCTTTTATGTGCTAATGTTTTCTCATGTGAAAAATGAGCACGCTAGCGATACACTATGAATTTTGTGGAAAGTTTTTCTAATGCAAGTCTTGTTGATGTATTTTCCTGCTTACAGAAAGAAATTGTGCATTCAGGAATTTTTGAAAAGATACATAACATCTTTATGTTTATTAATTTAATGGACAAAGTTTACCAACTTCCTGGTAGTCTACCAACTACCAACTCTACAAGTTATGTCTGTTTTTTCTAAATCTGCAAAATGGATACATACTAACTTCAAGTTATCACACCAGAAATGTGTAAGATTCTGTTTATTCAGCTAACAAGTACTGATGGGGAACTTAATTGTGCAACTATTAAGTATAGAAACAAATAAAGAGCAGTATCCCTATGCCCCAAAGACTGCATCTAACTGGAAACAGATACGCAATGACTATGGTACAATATATTCTAAACTTATAAGCAGGAGAGCTTCTACACTCCATACAGTAAGTATTTCCAAGACAGCAATATTAGTAAAATGCTGCAGAAGCACAGAAAGAGGGAAATTAATTGTATCTGAGAAAGCAGAGAAAGGAGGTGGCATTTGGAAATAGTTGATGTGAGATATACATTGCTTGATCTTTACAGAAAAAGTGAAGGAAAGACAGTGAACGGGTATGGGGCGGGAGCGTGTGGCCTGACACCGAGCACTACAGTGTGACACTGAGCTTTATGACAGGGCACAGAATCAGCTTCTGGAACTACAGTAAGTGAAGCACAGTGAGTTGGAAGGTACGTGAGCATGGCCTGCAGAGTGGGGCCAGCTGATAGAGTGTTCACAGTTCTGTTCACAGCTGTATAGGGACACTGGAGCCATCTGAAGTTTTAGGTAGGAAAATAGCTTGGGCCAAGGTGCTGTCAGAGATCTGTGGTGGCAAAGCAGCAGCATTGGAAGGGGACAGTGTTGCATCAGGGGGACTGGGTGGGAGGCCCTTGCACTCCTGACAGACATAGGGTCACCATGATGACTCCAGAAACATTGTCTCTAGGACCAAAGGTAGTTTTCGGAAGCCAGACCCTGTGTCCCGCCACACTCTCCACCAAGCTGTGTCTTCCCTTGCACAGCATGCAAACCCACCCCCTCTTTTCCATTCCAACCATGTTCTAGCCCTGGGGAGAGGGAAGGTTACCTGGGCGTTATTCTGAGGTCAGGGATATTTAGGTTTTTCCTAGAATTCACACACAGGTGGCTGCCTTTGTTAATGTCCCTGCTATGACTGGGTACAGAACTACTTCATACTGATTGCGGTGCTGATGGTCAACTGTCCCTGAGGCTCCACACGCTCTCCACATAGAGTGGGTGCCTTGTGACACTAGTTACCTTTTCATTCTGCTTTTTTATGTACTTGAATTTTCTGGATTTTGTGATTGATTTGTGGTGGCTACAACAACCAAAGCTACAACAACCCAACACCATTAGCCATTAGCTGACATTGTGGGTTTTCTCCTTCAGAACTGTTTAACAAATTTCATTTACATAAAGCTGTCAGGCATTCAGAAACATCAAAACAGAATGAAAGCAGCTACAGCGGGCTTTCACCTTTCTCTTCAAGGCATGGCCAGGGATACTCCCGCTGTTGGGGTCTATAAGTCTCATAATGAGTCTTTAAATATGCCCTGGTTTGCTTTGTGCACTAAAAAGACACAAAAGGCTGTGAGCACAGCTCTTCCTGTGTGCTTTCTTTTTCATACTGAAAGGAATCATGTCTTGAGAGCCCATTTCCCACCCCAACTTATCTTGACTATTTTGTCCCCAAAGATAGTGATCTTTATTGTTGACCACTCTAAAGTGAAGTAACACAGCAATAGCTTATCTCTTGGTGTTACCTTTCTATTTTTTTCCTGAAGATTTCTTTTAGGTGATTGGAAAATTCTTAAATGAAGTTGGTATACCTTTCTTCCCTTGTGTCACATTTAGTTTGTGACAGTTGCTTGGAATGACATTTGTGATTTTATCATTGTTTCAAATTGTAGTTAACATAAATACTGAATGCAACAGTGAGTTTTTGCCATTACAGTCACCTAATTATGTAATTTTAATGTTCCTCTTCCTTCTTCAAGTGTATCTTGGTTTTTTAGTTCTTGATTTGTTTCTTTTGTTTCCTTTGAAAGAATTTTCTTGTCTTTGTGGTGCTAATGACGAAAATATTCTTGATATATAATTATCTTCATTAATTTCTCAGTGCTCAGATTGTTACAGACTTTATTTTACTTTTCTGTAGAGTTCATTTTACCTTTTATGACTATTTTCTCATTTTCTTGGAGTGATTGACCAAACTCTTTTGCTGTTTTAAGACATTTATATTTTATTCTGAATGCAATTGTCAAAATTCATAAAATTCATTTATATCTTTACCTTATGGTCAAATGGAAAACAAAAGTCTATCACTTTGGAATGCCCAGGATATTTTCAGAGCTAGAGTCTTTTTCTCCAAACACAAAATATATTCAGGAGTATAGGACAACCACAGAGGCACAAAGATAAAAGTAGCTATATCATTCCCATTCACTCTTCTGTTCAACATAATGAAATAAACCCT